CACGGAATGGTTGGGGCTGTTGGGACTTGAAAAGCCCACCCAGTCCCAGCTGCCATGGGACACCTCCCACCAGCCCAGGTTGCTCCAAGCCCCATCCAACCTGCCCTTCAACACTGCCAGGGATGGGGCAGCCACAGCTTCCCTGGGCAACCTGGGCCAGGCTCTCACCACCCTCATGTCCAGCCTCAATCTCCCCTCTTCCATGGCCAAGGGGACCAGCAGGGACCTCCCAGCCTCACCTTGTCCATCATCTTCTTGGTCTGGCCGTAGCGGATGCGCAGGCGCCGGGCCTGGTAGTCGGTGCAGTTGGAGCAGGAAACCAGTTCACGGAAGGCGCCGGAGCCAGGGAACCAGGCCTCCAGGTCCAGCTTCTTACTGGCAGCGTGGTTGAGGGAGCCTGGGAGATGATGGGGTGGGCACACACTGAGCCCCCAACATCCCCATGGACCCCCCAGAGGTGCCCGTGGCAGTGCAGGCTCAAGGTGTGAAGCCTCTGAGGTGGCTTCAGAAGACATGGGGGGATCTTGTTCCATGTTGGGGAGTGTTTAAATGGGATTGTTTTCCTGGGAGAGGTTCCAGGAGTTGGGACATTCAGAGTATCCCCTTGGAAGGGACAGTGCAATCCTGGTGGGCCCAGAGGAGAAAACACCCCAGGGATGAGGGACCTCCTGCCCTTGCCAGCCCTGGGGACAGATGAAGGACAAAGCCCAGCAGGGGCGTGGCTCAGGGCCAGGGTGACACTTGAGGTGACACCAGTTCTCCTGGGCGCAGAGAGGTGGCCCCTACCTGAGACAATGTTGACAATGTGGTAGGGGATGCCCAGGGCCTGGTAGAACTCCTCAGCTGTGGCCATCATCTCCTCAAACATCTCCCAGGACTTGTTGTCGTGGGGGGAGGCGTAGACAAACTGCTCGATCTGCGCAGAGAAGGGGACTCAGCTCTGGCAACCACCTCTCCAGAACCCCCCTGGGGAATGCTGAGGTGGCACCCCAGCTCCTACTCACCTTCTCAAACTGGTGGACACGGAAGATGCCACGAGTGTCACGGCCATGGGAACCCACCTCCTGGCGGAAGCAGGTGGACAACCCCGCGTACTTGAGGGGCAGGTCCTCGGGCTTCAGCCACTCGTCGCGGTGCAGGGCAGCCAGGGGCTGCTCTGAGGTGGCAATCAGGTACTTCTCATCGATGGAACTGTCCTCTGCCTTCTCACTGCCTTTGCCAATCACCTGGGGTGGGGACAAAAGCCACCGTCCCCTGTCCCCAGCTGCTCCCGGGCTGTCGGGGACGGGCACTCTGTGGAGAAGCAGCCAGGCTCTGCAGGGCTGGTGCTGGGAGTGGGGATGGGATGGCTTGGGAATGGGAGCAGCTGCTTGTTTGTCCTAGTTCACAGGCCCTGGTGGCCTCCTGCCAGCCAGGCTGGGGACAAGCCACCTCCTCGTCACCACGTCGTCATGACAACCACCTCAGCGGGGAGGGGGGGACGGGACCACACAGGGACAAAAGCCACCGTCCCCTGTCCCCAGCTGCTCCCGGGCTGTCGGGGACGGGCACTCTGTGGAGAAGCAGCCAGGCTCTGCAGGGCTGGTGCTGGGAGTGGGGATGGGATGGCTTGGGAATGGGAGCAGCTGCTTGTTTGTCCTAGTTCACAGGCCCTGGTGGCCTCCTGCCAGCCAGGCTGGGGACAAGCCACCTCCTCGTCACCACGTCGTCATGACAACCACCTCAGCGGGGAGGGGGGGACGGGACACACACACACCAAGGCCAGGAAGATGAACTCGGAGATAGGGAACAGTTGGCTGGCTCCCTCCCCATCCAGAGGGGGAAGAGGTGGCTGGAGGGGACAGCTGGTGGCAGAGGTGGGGACAGGGAGGCCACTCACCTTGTAGAGCTCCTCGTCGAACTGGCTGAGCTGGGCCACCTCCTGCATCACCTCCTTGCGCATGAAGAAGGGGGTGTAGACGGGGGTGTAGCCCCTGGCACGGAGGCTCTGCAGGGCAAATTGGATCAGGGCCTGCTCCAGGAACACCAGGGGACCCTGGGGGACAAAAAGAAGCCACCACCTGTCACACACAAACACACACCCCGTTGTGCCACCCCTTCTTGCTCAGCAGGTCTGGGAGCATCTCAAGCTCCAGGCTCCCCTGCCCAGCGTCGGCAGGAGGAGGGGGGGGGTGTCTGGATCTCCTGGATCTCCCTCCACCCCCATATCCCTGGGGAGGGAGGGGGGATGTTGGGGGGTGGATTTGGGCCCCACCTTCAGGAAGTAGCCCCGGCTACCAGCCACGATGGGCC